CACCACCTTAGGCAGTTTTCACATCCTGGAATATTATAAGCATAGTTTCAAGCACTGCCAGTCAGTAAGTAGGCCACAATACACCAGGAACACTGGCTTTTGCTATTTATGCTTGTGCAAACACACAGTGGTGGTGTCACCTAGGCTGGCTTGAAAAGTATATTTTGAGCACAAAGACATTTCTCTCAAGGCCTAGGTGCTCTTAGAAGGTGGAATGTTGGTTAAACCTCAAGGTCGACCAAGAGTATTTTATGTCCTTAGCATGTTGCCTGATGATAGTACTGCTGTCTTCATGGCAGCTTCACAACAGTGCTCCAAATTACAAAAGCAAATGCAAAAACAAGTTTTACTTTGTGATGTATTATACATAACCAAGAACTCTTGGCAGGGCACAGAGTGTGACTGCTAATGGCTGCTACCCATCAAAGCATGAAGACTTTTATCTAAATGTAAAGTAAGCCAATCCTATTCCCTGAGATACAAGATGGAGAAAAACGAAAGAGAATAAGTGAAAGACCAAAAGGCCAAATAAAAAGTCTCCTTTGATGATTGACTACAACATAACCCCAATGGACCTCTACCAGTAAGATAAAAAGATGTATTTTATGGGAAAGATATGTTTTTCACAAAGCCTGGATTTGTCTCACACGGAGAGAAATGGGAAAAGGACCTGGGATTTGCATCAGCATCCAATCCTCCAATTCATCCTGATGTATTTACATTGCACAAAACTATTCGGATGTGACAACCACGATCTTAGTGAGAAGCAGAAAATGCTACAAGAATGATATTCTGGCTCACCTGTTTAAAATTTCCATTACAATTATCTACATAAAGAATAAAGCATAGCACCTACAAATTATAGAAAACAATACTGTTATTAGTTTTATCATCCACATCAGGCCAATTCAAACAGGCTTTCCCGGCATGCTGATCCCACCTTTCAGTCTCATCTGCAGATACGACAAAGACTAGCATTCTGGACAATGACTCAAAGCCTGCTCCTCAGTTCTAGCTGATGTCTTTGCAGACATATTCAACCTGTCCCTCTCACAAGCCTAAATCCACACCTGCTTTCAGACATCTATCAACATACTGCTGCTAAGAAAGGATAAAGCAAACTGTATCAATGATTCAATTGAACTAACTCCTATAGTGATTAAATGTTTCTTCTTGAGAATCATTGTGACTCACAATCAGAAGACTGTTCCAGACACTCTGGACCCTCTCCAAACCAAGCAGGTCAACAGAGGATGCTGTCAACACATCAGTGCACACATCTGGTGTTCACTGACTACAGCTCAACATTTAGTTTAGTTTATTCATTTACATATTTCAGTACATATTTCAGCACACATTTAACACAATGTTACCATAAAGGCTGATCAACAATCTTTTCACACTCTTTGAACTGATATGCAGGGGTGATGAGTCACCATACATGAGAGAAGAGGGTGACTTTGTGAGGTGGGGTAAGCTAAACAACATATCTACTCTTCAGTGGCTAAAGTTTCTTAATGTTAACAGGACTCTTTATTTTCCAAGCCATTCTCCTCTTTCATCCATCCATTGTTTCAAAACAGCCAATCTTTAGCTAATAATTAGGCCATCTGGATTTAATCGTGAACAAGGAGATCACAGAAAACAGTTCTGGACTGTAGCCCTCATCCGCAACCCAAGTGCACGACTGTGGCTAGCCATCTTTTAAATGTTCTCATCTTACTAATTTGTGTTTTTGCCTGAGAAGATGACTTTTTGGATAGAAGGGATATGTGAATTATATTTCATTGGCAATGTATCCAATTAATTTAAATGTTTCATGTACACTTAGAAATGACATCATGATGTTGGAAATAAAAGAAATTTGTCAAAATCTCTGGAACTCTACGACTCGTCATTCTTAGGTCTTGCCACTATCCAATTAACTTTAGCTAAGATTGGAAAACTGCTTATCTTTGCTATTAACTTGCTCTTGACTGTTCTTGCAGTTAAACACATTATCAAATGGATGATAATGTGAATCAGTCCAGACCTACAGTGGGTACAGAAAGTATTCAGACCCCCTTAAATGTTTCACTCTTTGTTATATTGCAGCCATATGCTAAAATCATTTAAGCTCATTTTTTTCCTCATTAATGTACACACAGCACCCCATATTGACAGAAAAACACAGAATTTTTGACATTTTTGCAGATTTATTAAAAAAGAAAAACTGAAATATCACATGGTCATAAGTATTCAGACCCTTTGCTCAGTATTTAGTAGAAGCACCCTTTGGAGCTAATACAGCCATGAGTCTTTTTGGGAATGATGCAACAAGTTTTTCACACCTGCATTTGGGGATCCTCTGCCATTCCTCCTTGCAGATCCTCTCCAGTGCTGTCAGGTTGGATGGTAAACGTTGGTCGTCATGTTTAACATGTCATTTTGCTTCAGTGGCATTTTGGTCTGTTTCACCCAGATAGATGAGTCGGTGTGAAAATGTGGGAAAGATGGTCAAAAATGTGATTTAATGTGCTTCTCTTAAAAGCAGTTGTAGGTTTGGTGGTTGAATAAAAATGGGAAGGAGAAAGCTGTGTGACCACACAAAGCAGTTTTGAGTTTTGAGATTCAGTAAATTTGCCACTTCCCCTTTTTTTAACTGTCTTCTTTTTTATGTGGTGTCAAATCTGTGAAAAAGAAAACATTTGTTTGTACATGACCCGGTTGTACTTTTCCTCAGATGCCTGGTAATATCTAACATCTTCAGAATGAATCTAAATGGTAAATCATAATAATGTGGTTTATGATGACATATGAGTGCACTTTTCAAAGTACTCTACATCAGGATATTTCATTCTGACTGACAAGATGTACTTAACATGTACTTACCAAACAAACAAAAACACTATCTTTATAATAATGACCCTCATCAGTCAAATTAAATATTCTTCATATTTTATATTAGAAAACCAGACAGGAAAATGTTGTTTTTACTGCGCCAACCAAACCAGTGCTTTCAGATGAAGACTTTTAAAGTGTAGGTGAAAACTAAAAATCGACAGTATGAATCTTTCATCACAGGAACTCACAGGAATTGCACATTAAATAGTTTATTATTGAAAGAAAAGTGGATGAATAAATCAATTATAAAACAAACACAAGTGAGAATACATGGAGGACTGCAGACTTAATCTAAACGATATCCGGGACTCACCGCTCAGCAGGGAGGGATTTCATTCATGAAGTGCTGGAGGAAGAAATGGGAGGATGTCTGACCTTCGCTCCCATACTTATGTCTGTGACAGGAGGGTGTCCCTGTGTTGTTGTCAGGCCGGTCCGTCAAGCAGTTACCACACTGAAAAAGGAAAGGTCCTGTGTAAGAACAGAAATCCTGAGTAAAGCCCCTTTCACAAGACATTTCACAAGCTCAACCAAGCCGGCAGAAAGTAACATAGAGGCACAGGGTTGATAAAGTCAGTGATAAAAGTGACTCTGGTGAACTCAACATGTCCTCACCAGTATCTTCAAGTTAAAACCTG